CAACCTTGCTCCCATTAAATAGTCATTGTCTTCCCTACTCCCCACAGTTAAACTTTTAGGTAAAATTAACTTTTTTTCAGCTTAACCTTTAGGTAAAATTGGCTTTTTATTAGAAATGAAGATTTGGACCAATGGATCTCTAAGGCCCCTTTCCTTCTCTATGATTTGTCATTTTACAGAATATTGCAAGTTATCATGAGAATAGCAAGATAACATTACTTTTTAAAAATTAAAATGCACTGGAGTTGCAATTAAGCCAAATACAATGGATACTGTCATTTATTCAGGGAATATTAGATGATCTTCTGATACTGTATAGTAGTGCCTTTTGATTGCTAATGAATGATTCAAAGATGCTTATTTTCAGTATAGAATCACAGCCCAATTTCCTGAAATTCATAATTTATTGTTATAATTTCTGGCTAACTAGGGTCCTGTATTCAGTTAATCAAAACCACTCACCTGCCAAAATTTGAAAGTACAGTTTTCATAGTGCCCAAATCAATTCAGTTCAACCTTCTCTTCCCTTCACTAAATCTGTATGGTTCCTTGAACTGTTCCATAAATGAAGTGACTATTCTGCCTCTTCTGGGAATCCATCCTGGTTTGCTGGCATCTCAAAGTATAGGACCCAGAACTGAATAAAAAATTCCAATATGTGCATTAGATGAAGTCATGGAACTATATGGTAGGCAGGATAATGGCCTCCAAAAGATGTCTCTCTTTAAATCCTAGGAACTTCTGAATATATTACTACCATGCATGACAAAATGAACTTTGCAGATGTGATTAAATATTTTAACAACTTATTGACCAGAGATATATTATGACGCCTTTTGTTACCCGAACATTACTGACTGGAGTGTTTCAAAATTCACTTACATAATAAATTGCTGGACACAGGTGTTAAGTTAGTTTCTGCAAAAAGCCCCAGTCAATAATGTGCTAAGATGGGAAGTTTATCCTGGGTTGTTTGATGGGCACAAGGTAATAATCACAAGGATATCTGTAAGTGGAAGCAGGAAGCAGAGTAAGGGAGAGGTTTGCAGATGCTCCCCTGTGGTCTTTGAAGATGGAGGAAGTGGAAGATGGATGCAGGTGGCCTCTAGAAGCCAGAAAAGGCAAGAGAAGCATTCTTCCCTAGAGCCTGTAGAAGGAACGCAGCCCTGTGGACACCAAGATTTTAAGCCCAGTGAAACCCAATTTGGACTTCTGAGTTCCAGAATGTCACTGGCTTGTGGACCCTTCCATCTTCAAAGCCAACAGCAGAACATCTTCAATCTTTGACTCTCACACCTGCTTCCATCATCAAATCTCCTTGTCTGACTCTCACTCTCCTGTATCCCTGTTTTATTTAAAGGTGTCCCTGTGATTATATTTGGCCCATCTGGATAACTGAGGGATCTCCCCACCTAAAGATCTTTAACTTAATCGTATCTGCACATCCCCTCTACCATGTAAAGTAACATATTCACAGGCTCCAGGGATTAAAACATGGAAATCATGTGCCTACCATACCAGTTTGGGTAAAGCTTGTCAATAAGGATGAAATGGAAGGAAATGAAGTAGGAGAAGCAGTGATGGGCCTGATCACTTAAGAGCTTATTAGCCAAGTTAAGGATTTTATATTTAATTCTATGCCTTACCGGCAGGAGACTAACATCATGATTTATATTATATAGAAATCATTTTGGGTAGTATATAGCAAATGGACTATAGTAGAAGCAAATAGGCAAACCAGGAGGCTCTTGAAATACGCCATGCAAGATATGGTAGTGACTTGGATTTGGGTAAGAAGGGGAGATGAGAAGTGATTAGATTCACCTGTGTTGAAAATCCACAGAGACTTCAAGGATTTTGGCTTGAGCAATTTGGTGAATGGTACTATAGCAGAGTCAGAAGGCTGCTGGAATAGGTTTTTAGATTGTTATGGAGGGAGTAAAAATAAGTTTGAAGTGCTTGGTAGACATCCTACTGAAGGTAGTGAGTAGGCAGAAATATGCTTCATACACCAATCTGAAATTAAGAGGTTAGGAGATAAATACTAGACAGTCATTACTCTGTAGATGATAATGCCTCTGGTTGAGTGAAAGATGACCATAATTTTTATTATGCAAACCCATACAAACTCTTCAATTTTTAATTTTGACAATTTCAGTCATAAAGTTGCAAGAATGATAGAATGTACAAACACCTTTCACTCAGTTTTCCCTAATGTTAACATTTTACAACAGTTGCTTTATCCTCTTCTCTCTACTTATCTTTATCTTGACATTTTTGAGGTTGTCTTTACTGTGACCCCTGGAGAAGGGAACGGCAACCCACTCCAGTATTCTTGCTTGGCGAATTCCATGGACAGAGGAGCCTTGGGGAATACAGCCCACTGGGTCACAAAGAACTGGACATGACTAAGTGACTAACACTTTCACTTTACTGTTTTGACAGTGAGTTGCAGACACCATACTCCTGTACTCCTAAACACTTCAGTAGGGGGTCTTTCTGACAGAAAAAAAAAAAAAGACATTCTCTGGCATCAGTGGTTCTCATAGTTCCCAGGCTAGCAGCAACTGTATCACCTGGAAACTGTTAGAAACCTACTAATAAATTACAGGGCCCCACCCAGATCAACTGATTTTGATAATTTTGCTGTATGTTTGTGGGGAAATTAACAAGATTTTCAAAACCATTTCCTAATTTGTACACATTATTTAGATTTCACAAATTGTTCCAGGAATGTCTTTGATACCAAAAATACCAAATGAGACACTTTTGTGATTAAAGAGGGCCACCATCAATAATTGCACCAGAGCAAAGTGGTAAAGGTGTAATTTTTCATAATATGGACACTTGGAGATTAGGTGTTAGCTAGAGAAGAGGGCCAGGAATGCAATCCACATTGAGAGGCCTGGAACAGAAAGCTCCCTATGAAGGAAAAATAGCATCCAGTGAGGTAGGAGAGTGAAGGAGAGTGATGCTGAAAAGAAGGAATGGTCACAGAGGCAAATGTTGCCAAGAGGTCAAGTATAATAGCAATTGGAATTGCTATAGGATGTTGTGTGACCTGGTTCCAAATTGGGAAAGGAATACATCAAGGCTGTATATTGTCACCCTGCTTATTTAACTTATATGTAGAGTACATCATGCAAAATGTTAGGCTGGATGAAGCACAAACCGGAGTCAAGACTGTTGGAAGAAATATCAATAACTTCAGATACACAGATGACACCACCCTTATAGCAGAAAGTGAAGAACTAAAGAGCCTCTTGATGAAAGTGAAAGAGGAGAGCAAAAAAGTTGGCCTAAAACTCAACATTCAAAAAACTAAGATCATGGCATCTGGTCCCATCACTTCATGGCAAATAGATGGGGAAATAATAGAAACAGTGACTGACTTTATTTTTGGGGGCTCCAAAATCACTGCAGCCATGAATTTAAAAGACGCTTTCTCCTTGGAAGAAAAGTGATGACCAACCTAGACAGCATATTAAAAAGCAGAGACATTACCATGCCGACAAAAGTCCATATAGTCAAAGCTACGGTTTTTCCAGCAGTCATATATGGATGTGAGAGTTGGACTATAAAAAAAGCTGATGCTTTTGCACTGTGGTGTTGGAGAAGACTCTTGAGAATCCCCTGGACTGCAAGGAGATCCAACCAGTCCATCCTAAAGGAAACCAGTCCTGAATATTCATTGGAGGGGCTGATGCTGAAGCTGAAACTCCTATACTTTGGCCACCTGATGTGAGGAGCTGACTCATTGGAAAAGACCCTGATGCTGGGAAAGATTGAAGGCAGGAGGAGAAGGGAATGACAGAAGATGAGATGGTTGGATGGCATCACCAACTCTATTGACATGAGTTTGAGCAAGCTCCAGGAGCTGGTGATGGACAGGGAGGCCTGGCATGCTGCAGTCCATGGGGTTGCAAAGAGTCAGACACGACCCAGCAACTGAACTGAATAGGATGTTGTAAGTGGAGGTCCTTAGTGACCTTGATAAAAGGCAAATAATTTCCAAAAAGAACTATAAAGTGGACACAATATATAGAAAACTCTTCTTAAAAGGAGCAAAGATATGGAGGGGTATGCGGGGTTAAGAAAGGTGTTGCTCCTTTACGGTGGGGCATCTTACATTATGTTGATTACTGCTGGGAATAATTCTTTGCAGAACAGTTCACGGAGATTTGGCTTCCCTGGTGGCTCAATCTGTAAAGAATCTGCCTGCAATGCAGGAGACCCGGGTTCCATCTCTGGGTGGGGAAGATCCCTTGTGTAAGGTAATGACAACCTACTCCACTATTCTTATCTGGAGAATCCCATGCAGCCTGGTGGGCTAAGTCCATGGGGTCACAAGAGTCGGACAAGACTTCGTGACTAAACGACAGCCACCTAGGGAGGTTTACAAACTACTGATGCCTCCAGAGTTTGATTCAACTGATCTGGGGTGTGGCCAAGTTCACAGAGATTTGTTACATGCTACCCAGGTAACTGTAACGTGCAGTCAAGGTTGTGAACCACTGCTAGAAAAAGAAAATTGATGCCGGAGGGCTTACTTGCTGGAGCTAAGACCTATGTAGCTGAGAAACGAAGTATCACGGTGTCTCTGCCAGCAAAAACGGCCAGCACTGCTTAGGTTTCAAATCTTTTCAGTTACAGTATCCAATTTTTCCTACTAGCGTCCATAAGACAAGCGAGGGGCTTACTGCAGGAACTACGCTCCTCGAGAGGCAAGAAAGGAAGAAAGAAAAACGACCTTGGTGCCGATTGCTGGGTCCTATCATTTAGAACCTCTCTGGCTCGGTCTGGCTCTCCGTCTCCCCTAGAGCTCCCGCACGGCAACACCCGAGCGCCAGTCGCCAGTGCGCACGCGCACGAGTTGCTGGGGCGTGCTAGCGGCGGTCCCTGCGCAAGCTTGTCCGCGTGCTCCCGCCCTTGGCCCGCGCCCCCGGCTCCTCCCTCCTCCCGACCTTCTCCCTGGCCGGCTGCTCGGGAGGGAGGCAGAGATGGCAGATGAGATCGCCAAGGCTCAGGTCGCCCGGCCTGGCGGCGACACGATCTTCGGGAAGATCATTCGCAAGGAAATCCCAGCCAAAATCATTTATGAGGATGACCAGGTAGGCTCCGAGCGCCGCCTCGCTCGTGGACTGAGACGGGGCAGGCGCCTGTGGACACGCGGGTTTCCCGCGGAGGGGAGGGATGGGAAGGGTCGGCGGGCCCCGGGGAGAAGGGAAGGCACCGGGCTCTCTCCTGCGGCCTCGGCCTCGGGCCCCCAGCCAGCGGGCAGGGCCGCGGTCGCTGCGAGGTGCCCGGCCGGCGCGTGCCGGCGCTCCGGTTACGCGTTATCAGCCCGGGGCGCGGGCCAGGCCGCCGGGCGCTCGCGGGCCCGCACCGCGGGGTCTGGGCGCGTTGCGGGGGGGGGGGGGGGGGCGCTCCGGGTCCTCGGCATGGGCGGCCGCCGGCTGCCAGGTTGCCTCGTACCTCGACTCTTTAAGGAATCTGGCAATCTCGCCAGCGCTCTGCCTGACAGGGAGAAACCCGATCGCACCCTGACTCGGGCCCAATCTCCGCGATCTCCCGCTCACAGCCGTTTCCGGGCGCCTCTCGCCGCCGCAGTGCGCTAGAGGCCGGGGGCGCACGGCCTGGGGGCGGCGCAGACGCCCTGGGCCTCCGCGAGGGACGCTCCCCGACGCCCACCCCCTGACCCCCACTCCCTTCCCCCGCCTCGACCCCCACTCCCCTCCCCCCCCTCGGGTCTCGAACTCCCAAGAGTGAACCTGCTTCTGGGATTTGCTTTCCTTTAGCCCCTCCCAGGAAGAATGATTCCTTCAGTATTTTACGGGAAGTAGTTTTATGCCAACAGATTAAGAGTGTCGTTTTTCTTGACCTCACTGTAGGTTGAAATTGTTTTAGAAAGGCCGAGTTCATTTGACTTTCAGACATCTTGTGTAAAATATTTAGTGGGAGGTTATATTTTGGATCTCAGATAAAGCTGGACAGGATGGCTGATTTAGATAAAAGTTTTGTAAACTTTTTAATAAAGTCACTATGAAATATAGAATATAAGGAAACATTTTATGTTACTAGTAGCGTTCTTAGATTCAGCGTGTTCTTAGATTCAAAACACCTAAGTTTTAATTCCTCGAGGTGAATTTATTTAAATACCCTTTTTATCTGTTTGGGAGATTATTTTGTTTTAGAAAATGTGTATTTCTTTAAAAACACTTTTGCTGCTGCTGCTGCTAAGTCGCTTCAGTCGTGTCCGACTCTGTGCGACCCCATAGACGGCAACCCACCAGGCTCCCCCGTCCCTGGGATTCTCCAGGCAAGAACACTGGAGTGGGTTGCCATTTCCTTCTCCAATGCATGGAAGTGAGAAATGAAAGTGAAGTCGCTCAGTCCTGTCTGACTCTTAGCGACCCCATGGCCTACCAGGCTCCTCCTTCCACGGGATTTTCCAGGCAAGAGTACTGGAGTGGGTTGCCATTGCCTTCTCCAAAAATACTTTTAGCTGCTTTTAGTAAGTGATAGTTGAAATACTGACTTTTGAACCATCTGCGTTCCAATAGTATAACAGCAGGAAGCAATCATGATACAGCATATTTGTACAGAGCACCAAGTATAATTACCCGGAGACAGTTAAGCAGGAAAAGGTTCTATTAAGAAGCTTCTGCCTTCACTGGAGAACAAGATTCAAAACTATTCTAAATGTTAGTCAGTCTAACTAACTAATGTTAGTTAGTCTAAATGTTACCTATCCTCTTCATTTTTACAAAATAAATATATTTCCTAAGTAATTGAAGTGGGAAGAAATCAGTCAGATAATCAGCAAATTTCTAATTATAAAAGTGATCACACACACAAAAAAGTGATCACTGCCACGAAGGAAAAAACCAGGAAATTGCGCAACTTGGGCTCCTAACCTCTGGACCGCGGGGACTGCAATCAAAAGATTTGCTTTGAGTGGTGCTGGGAAAGTTGGACAGCTGCATGTAAATCAATGAAGGTGACCACACCCCCTCACACCATACACAAAAATAAACTCAAAATATCTTAAAGACTTACATCTAAAACATGACGCTATAAAACTCCTAGAAGAGAACATAGGCAAAACATTCTCTGACATAAATCATACTAATGTCTTCTTAGGTCAGTCTCCCAGGGCAATAGAAATAAAAATAAACAATAAACAGGTACAGTGGCTTAAGACTTTGCACTCACAATGTAGGGAGGCTGGGTTTGATCCCTAATTGGGGAATGGGCTTCCCTGGTGGCTCAGATGGTAAAGAATCTGCCTGCATTGCAGGAGACCTGCGTTTGATCTCTGGGTTGGAAGATCCTCTGGAGAAGGGCATGGAAACCCACTCCAGGATTCTTGCCTGGATAATCCTCATGGACAGAGGGGCCTGGCGGGCTATGGTCCATGGGGTCCCTGGGGTCGCAAAGAGTCAGACACAACTGAGTGACTAAGCACACACAAAACAGATCCCACGTGCTGCAACTAAGAGTTTGCATGCCACAACTAAGGATCCTGCATGCAGCAGCAAAGACCCAGCACAGCTATCTAAATAAATAAATAAATGGAACCTAATCAGATTTACAAGCTTTTGCATAGCAAAGGAACCATAAAAAAGACAACCTGTGAACTGGGAGAAGATATTTGCAAACTGTACAACTGACAAGGGCTTAATTTCCAAAATATACCAATAGCTCATACAACTCAACAACAAAAAATATCCCAATCAAAAAATGGCAGAAGACCTTAATGGACATTTCTCCAAAGACATACATGAAAAGATGCTCAACATCATTAATTATTTAAAAAAATGCAAATCAAAACTAATGAATCAGAATGACTATCATTAAAAAGTCTGAAAAATGCTGGAGAAGGTATGGGGAAAAGGGAACTGTCTTAGACTGTTAGTGGGAATGTAAGTTAGTATGGCCATATGGAAAACAGTATGGAGGTTTCTCAGAAAACTAAAAATGGAATTACCATATGATCCAGCAATCCCACTCCTGGGCATATACCTAGACAAAACCATAATTCAAAAAGATAAATACACCCCTATGTTCATAGCAAAGTTATTCACAGTAGCCAAGACAGGGAAACAACCTAAATGTACATCAGTAGATGAATGGATAGAGAAGATGTGGTACATGTATACAATGGAATACTACTCAACCATAAAAAGAATGAAATAATGCTATTTGCAGCAACATGGATACAACTAGAGATTATCATATTAAGTGAATTAAGTCATAAAGAGAAAGACAAATACTGTATGATATTGCTTATATGTCAAATCTAAAATATGGCACAAATGAACCTATCTACAAAACAGAAATAAGACTCACAGACAGAGATCCAGACTTATGGTTGCCAAGGAAGAAAGGGGAGGGAGGGGTGGAATGGGAGTTTGGTATTCACAGATGCAAACTATTACATTTAGAATGGATAAACGAGGTCCTACTCTGTATAGCACAGAGAACTGTATCCAGTATCCTGGGATAAACTATAATGGAAAAGAATATTAAGAAAAGAATGTGTATGTGTATAGCTGAATCATTTTGCCATCCAGCAGAGACTGGCACAACACTATAAATCAACTGTGAAAGTGAAAGTTGCTCAGTCCTGTCCGACTCTTTGTGACCCCACAGACTACATGTCCATGGACTACTCCAGGCCAGAATACTAGAGTGGGTAGCCCATCCCTTCTCCAGCGGATCTTCCCGACCCAGGAATTCAACCGGTGTCTCCTGCATTGCAGGCGGATTCTTTACCAACTAAGCTATCAGGGAAGCTCCCCAAACTATATTTCAATAAAAAATATGGAATTCAAAATTTAAAAACAATTTCCTTTAGAAATGGTGTATATACTGGTAGCTAAGGAATGAATAGTAGTTTAAGTTAGACAAAAGTTGGGATTTTGGAGAAAAAGGATCTTTGCAGTAGAGGGAAAAGCAGTTGAGAAAGCCCTGAGTGTGGAGAGAGATGGACAGTGTGACTTGAGCAGGAAGAGTTGCATGAGAATATATTGGAATAACAGACAATGATTAGCATGCCTACTTGCTTCTCAACCTTTGGATCTTGGTTTAAATGTAGCTACCTCACAATGATTGCCCTTGACCACCCAATCAAAATTAGGTTTTTCTGTGATAATCATTTACTGCACATGTTACTTTCCCCTTGTAACTTGTAGGATCTTTGTTGTTGTATTTTATAACATACTGAATCTTTGGTTAAGTATACTTTTATGTGTTTAAAGTCAGTTTTCCCATTAGACTGTTAGTTCCATGAAAAGGACCAGAGTATCCTATGTATTGTGTCAACTTCGGATCTCCTACCACAGGGGAAACCCCAGTGTTTCTCCCATGGGGTCAGTGTGAAAGTGATAAACTTTAGGCTGTAAGACTATATATGGAAACTTTGATTTATTTCCCCCTTTTTTCCAGTGTCTTGCTTTCCATGACATTTCCCCTCAAGCACCAACACATTTTCTGGTGATACCCAAGAAACATATATCCCAGATTTCTGCAGCAGAAGATGATGATGAAAGTGTAAGTACATTTACTAATATCATTAATTTTTTTTGCTTTTTAAACTGGGAGACTAAATATCACCCTTAAGGTTATGTCACATTTTTGTTTTCCTAAGGGCATACTGAGGAAAAATAGAAAATCATTAGGGCTTCAATGCAATGTATAAATAGTGTGAATTTTTAAATGAGATATAATTGACATATGACATTATATTAGATTTAGGTTTACAACATATTGATTTGATATATGTATATACTACTGAATTATCACAGCAAGTCTTGTTAACACCCATCACCACAAATTCTTAAACAGAAATGATTCTAAGCAAGGATTAGTTGGTGAGACTCATTTTTCCTTAATAAGAAATAGTGTATCATACAGGAGAGAGTTCACTGGCTCTTTTATTAATGCCATTAAAGGAAAGAAAATTAATTTGATTTTACCAGGATGTACAGGCCTCAATTAAAATTTTTCTTAGTGCTCTTTGTGGTAGATTATATAATTGTTCATAACTGCTCACTCTTCTATGTAGGGCTGCATTATACTTCTGGCCTCATTGATGTTGGGCCTGGTCATACGACTTAATTTGACCAATGAGTACAGGCAGAAGTGATACATGTCTTTTGAAAGAAGTTAATACCTGGTCTGCCATGTTCTCTCTAACCTCTGCCACTGTGGTCATATAGAGACTGTTCCATCAACCTGGGTTTCAAAGTGAAAAAGATGTGGAATATAGAGCCTGGTCGACTTGTGATCAACATGGAGTGAACACAAGAAATGTATCTTTGATGTAAACCAGGTTTTTACGTGGTTTGTTACCACAGCATAACCAAATCTGTCCCAACTGATAATATGCCCCCAGAACAAGCAAGCAGGGTGTCTGCTTTACTAAGAAAACTCAAATACCACTTGGAGTATGATCTTAAAGTTGTTTTAATTGAGCAGATTTATGCCTGTAATTTTGTTTATTGAAATCAGTAATTAGTAAATACCTAATAGGATTATATTAGGATTAAAAATGTTTCCAAATACTTGCCCAAAGTCTGTTTCAATTAGTAGCTTTTAAATTTTTCACCTTGGTAGTTTGTTATATGATGATAAGAAACTATAAAGCTATAAATTACTAGTGCTTAAGAAACTTTTTTTTTTTTTCCAGCTTCTTGGGCATTTGATGATTGTTGGCAAGAAATGTGCTGCTGATCTGGGCCTGAAGAAGGGCTATCGAATGGTGGTGAATGAAGGTTCAGATGGGGGCCAGTCTGTCTATCATGTTCATCTCCATGTTCTTGGAGGTCGGCAGATGAACTGGCCTCCTGGTTAAGCATGCTATAGAGATAATGTTGCCTTCTCTATGCAGTGATCAGGTTTGCAAGTTCTAATATGCTTAACAATTTTTTTTTTTGCCTCTGTATGGAGATACTGAAAAAATAATTTAAAAAACCCATACATAATAAAAGACATTGTTGCATGGTCTGAATTCTGTATTTGACTTATTTTTAAAAATATGTTTGTTGGAATGTTTGAAGGTAGAGTTCATACCTGAGAAGGTTTTGTTTTTTCTCCCCAAAGAGGACTCAGCATTACGTATGTGGTTATAACGGTGTGACTGATCTTTGAAGACAAATTAAAAAATTTTATACATTTAGCTTCATCTTTGAAATATGCTTTTTAGAGTAAAGTATCAGTCCAGGAGAAGATTTTCTAATCCAATTTTTTTAACCCCCCCTAAGAACAAAGGAAGTAATGTGATTGATCCAGAAAGTGACAGTTGTGGCACTGGAAATGCTTGATGTCCAGCTCACATGTTTTCCCTGGACTGTTGGAGATAATTTGGAAGGGATGAAAGTACGTTTCTCACAGAAACTTTGATGGTCATATGAAGGCATACAGTAGTGTTTCCTTATTAGTCTAACACTGAGTATTTATTATAAAGACTTGAAAACATATTATTTAGAATTAATTCTCCAAATTGAAAACTCATTGTTTTGAATGTGTATGTGCACACTAGCAAAAATATTTTAAGTTTTGCATGAATCTGGCTATGTAGAATTGAGGTAAGTAAATCTCAGTGTCTGAGATCTTATGTAGACTGACAACAAAACTTATTTATTTTTGGTCTTGCCACGTACCCTAGCCTTTCTGAGTTTCTGCAGGACAGATGGCTTTGCTTCTCTGCTTTCCTTCACATAGGCACTTTCCAGCTTCTAAAATTTATTTAATATTTGTTATCTGCTTTTGTCTCTTTGCTCATTTTCTTTATAAGTTCCTTCCATTTTTAATCCCCAAGACCATTTTAGTAGATTTTGACACATTTTATTGCAAGTTGTTTTTCTTCTAAACTTTTTAATTTATTGGTGACTTAAAAAAATTTTGGTGGGTGGATTAGAGATACTGGCTGTATATGTCTTACAAGTGAATTTTTTTTCTGTCTTTTTTTTTACTTTGTTTATGGTATTTAAAATATATAATTAATGTTTCAAATTTTAATTTAGTTCACATTTTTAAAAGCCTTTCCCACTCTAGGAGGATTTATTAAAAAAAAAAAATTTTCCCCTGACACTGTATAGCTTTATGTACTTTTATGACTTATTTTATGAGGGAAGGTCTGGGGCAGCAGAGGAGTTTTGGAGGGATTTGTGCCACTGTAAAAAATGTAATAACGATGGGACATCCCTGGTGGCCCAGTGGTTAAAAATCTACCTGCTAATGCAGGGGACACAGGTTCAGTCCCTGGTCTGGGAAGATCCCACGTGCAGTGGAACAACTAAACTGACGTACCACAACTATTAAAGCCCAGGTACCTATAACCCACATTCTCAAACAAGAGAGGCCACCATAATGAGAAGGCTGCGTACTGCAACTAGAGAGTAGCCCCCCCCCACCCAACTAGAGAAAACCCCACGTGCAATAAATACCCAGTGCAGCCCCCCAAATAAAGAAATACAAAATTTTAAAATGTAATAATGCCCCAAATCTTTCAAGCTAGGTTTCAACAGTACATGAATCAAGAACTTCCAAATGTACAAGCTAGATTTTGAAAAGGCAGAGGAACCAGAGGTCAAATTGCCAACACCTACTGAATCATAGAAAAAGCAAGAGAATTTCAGAAAACATCTGCTTCATTGAGTACACAAAAGCTTTTGATAGTGTGAATCACAACAAACTGGAAATCTTAAGGAGATGGGAATACTAGACCACATTACCTGCCTCCTGAGAAACCTGTATGCAGGTCAAGAAGCAACAGTTAGAACCAGACATGGGACAATGGACTGGTCCCAAATTGGAAAAGGGAGTACGTCAAGGCTGTATACTGTCACCCTGCTTATTTAACTTCTATGCAGAGTACATCATGTGAAATGCCAGGCTGGATGAAGCACAAGCTGGAATCAAGATTGCTGGGAGAAATATCAACAACCTCAGATGTGCAAATAATAACTACCCTAATGGTAGAAAGTGAAGAGGAACTAAAGAGCCTCTTGATGAAAGTGAAAGAGGAGTGAAAAGGCTGGCTTAACACTCAACATTCAAAAAACTGAGATCATGGCATCTGGTCTCATCACTTCATGACAAATGGGAAAAAGTGGAAGCAGTGACAGATTTTCTCTTCTTGGGCTCCAAAATCACTGCATATGGTGACTTCAGCCGTGAAATATAAAGACGGTTGCTTCTTGGAAGGAAAGCTATGACAAATCTAGACAGTGTATTAAAAAGCAGAGACATCACTTTGTTGACAAAGGTCTGTATAGTCAAAGCTATGGTCTTTCCAGTTGCCATGTACGGATGTGAGAGGTGGACCATAAAGAAGGCTGAGCACTGAAGAATTGATCCTTTAGAATTGTGGTGCTAGAGAACACTCTTGAGAGCCCCGTGGACAGCAGGGAGATCAAACCAGTCAATCTTAAGGGAAGTCAACCCTGAATATTCATTGTAAGGACTGTAAGGACTGATGCTGAAACTCCAATACTCTGGCCACCAATGTGAAGAGATGGCTCATCAGAAAAGGCTCTGATGCTGGGAAAGATTGAAGGCAGGAGGAGGAGACGACAGAGCATGAGATGGTTGGATGGCATCACTGATTCAATGGACATGAACTTGGGTGAATCCTCGGGGATGGTGAGGGACAGGGAGGCCTGGCATGCTACGGTCTATGGAGTCACAGAGTCGGACAGGTCTTAGCAACAACACCGACGAGATATGCACTATGCTCTCTGTATTAAATATACTATTGATAAAAACCAAACTGTGTACATCTTGTTACATCCTGCAGCATTTACTCAAATTATATGTGTAATGTGAAAGTGTTAGTTGCTCAGCTGTATCTGACTCTCTGTGACCCCATGGACTGCAGCCCACCAGGCTCTTCTGTCCATGGTATTGTCCAGGAAAGAATACTGAAGTGGGTTGCCGTTCCCTTCTTCAGGGGATCTTCCTGATCTGGGGATTGAACCCGGATCTCCTGCATTGTAGGTAGATTCTTTAACTTCTGAGCCCCCGGGGAAGCCCATACATGTAATGGATACTTGTAATCTCTGATGTTCACCATTTGAACTCCCTTTGAATTGAAAGGATTCCTTATCTCCCAAATGAAAAGACATCTAGTATTCTAGCTCCTCTGCCAGCTAGGATGTAAGCCCTTCACTTAGGCTCTGCCAATCAGATGGATTCACCTGAGATTTTGAATTTGAAACTAATGACACAAAGAAACAAAGATAGTGGAGATTGCTTTCTGGTGTCAGTGGCAGCAGCATCCAGTTGGCAGACACAACAGTGTTTGTGCTGCCAACTGTTGGATCCAGTATTAGACACCAGGAATGACAACCGTGCAAGTCGCAGTTCCTGTGCTCAGTGGCAGCAGTAGCAGTGCCCCAGAAGACTAACTTTCTGGTTCTGTTTTTGGCTGTGGTATTATCTGCACAGGTTCTCTTGATTCTTGCCTATTTTACCAGTAATCTGTGAGCTAGGCATTAAAAATTGATACAAGTATTTAAATGCTGGAGAAATTTTTACCATGAATGGTTGCAGGCAATAGATACTCAAGGAAGGGTGGGGTGAGGTGGTGGAGACTTGAGATTAGTTACTTGGCCAATTTTAAGATGAAGACAAGGAGAATCCAGATACCATTAACAAAATGGGTTTTCACAGCCCATGGTAACTAGTACTAAAATAGCTAAAACATTCCATGAATCACCTGTACTAAATATGTCAAATGAAGGCAAGGTTTTGGACTTCATGTGCTGCTGCCATAGGAAGATATGAAGGGTAAGCAGAATTCAGGATTGTGGAGGTGTTGTGATTGCTTCTAATAATGCTGAACATCTGAGAAAGAAAGAATGACCTTCTATGGGGCCACCATCATCCTGATACCAAAACCAGACAAAGATACCACTAAAAAAATTAAAGGCCAATATCACTGATGAACACAGACACAAAAATACTCAACAAAATACTAGAAAACTGAATCCAACAATACATTAAAAGGTCATATGCCATGATCAAGTGAGATTTAATTTTAGAGATGTAGGATTCTTAAATATCTGCAAATCAATTAGTATGATATACCACATTAACTGAAGAATAAAAACCATGTGATTTCACTGCAGCACTGTTCACAATAGCCAAGACATGGAAGCAACCTAAATGTTCACTGACAGAGGAATGGACTAAGAAGATGTGGTACACATACGTGATGGAATATTACTCAGCCATAAAAAGAATGAAATGATGCCATTTGCAAGCTCATGGATGGACTAGAGATTATCATACTAAGTGAAGTAAGTCAGGCAAAGACAAATATCGTATGATGTGGAATCTAATTTAAAAAACATACAAATGAATGTATTTACAAAACAGAAATAGAATTACAGATATCAAAAGCAAATGTATGGTTACCAAATGGGAAACATGGTGGGGAGGAATAAAGCAGGATGTTGGGATGAACATACACACACTACTACATGTAAGAGAGATAACCAACAAGGACCTATTGTGTAGCACAGGGAACTTTACTCAATATCCTGTGATAACCTATATGAGAGGACTCTGAAAAGAATGAATATATGTATATGTATAACTGAATAACTTTATGTCCAAAACTAATACAACACTGTAAATTAACTACATTCCAATAAAATTAAAATTAAAAAGACATTCTGTCACTATTCTTTCTCTTATTTCCTCTTTATATGATGTATCTGTTCTTCTGTGAACAGCATCAGCAGCATCTAAAAATAAAACAGTCCAAAGGGCATCACCAGCTATGAGACTGATAAGAATGTTACTCTTAAGAGCAAGAGTTTATCCTTTTAAAATCGTATTTTATCA